TAGCTGTTGGAGCCACAGACAGTGATGGTATGTCCAAAGGGAGCTGAGCTGCTAAGGAGAGGGGCACCAAGAAAGCCATACTCAAGGTATGGCCCTCTGAGTTATAAGCCAGGCACTGAACAGAGTTCCTAGCAAATAGGCAACAAGATTAAATTCCACTGGCATCATGGGGACAAAGGGAGGCAATGCCTTCCCTGAGTCAGAGGCTAGGTCTACACTCCAGTCCTTTATCGGAAAAAGCTATGCAAATTGCGAAACGCAATTTGCATAGCTTTTTCCGATAGCTTTTCCACCATTTGGCAGAAAAGCCTCCTCTTTCAGCGGAACCCTTCTCTCTCATTAAATGAGGTAGACAGGGTTCTCCAAAGGAGTGTGTTTTCTCTTCCGCCAAAAATACGGAAGAGCAAATGCATTCCTTGGATGCAGTGGAGTTTTTCCGGGATATCCCAGAAAAACCCCACAGTATAACACAGCATTAGTGCTCAACCTTTTCCCTCTTTCTACTCTGATCATTCTTGAAGGCTCCCACAGCAGGCCATTGCAGACAGGTGACTCCTCCCCAGTAGTGGATCTGTTAACAAGTGAAAAGCCTTCCAGCTTGCCAGACCTATTATCATAACACTGAACCTGTGAAAGAGTCATTAAGTGATAATGAAACACAGGGATATGCCAACCCTGAATTTACTGACAAAACCAGTAGTGCATTACTATGGCTACAGGACCTTAGTTTAAAATTTGCTTTAAATATTTCATTAATTTATTGCTGAAGATTATGAAATCACATCTCTAAAAAATCCTCGCATAGATACTTAGATGCATGATCAGCTTTAGCCTTAAATGCTTGGATCTTCATAGTATTTTTAATACATTCTTCAAAAGACATCCCTTCTTTAAAATACATTTTAATTTTAATTACTACAATACAAAAACTTGTTACGAAAGTCTTCCTGACCTTTTTATCCATCCCTACTCTCCTTTCACCCCCTGTTGAAGAGAGCACTTAAAAGGACAATATTCCTTTTCTTCTGGATAGCTGGACAAATGAGTTTTTCCTTTACTTCTCAAGAATTTGATGAACTAGTTTGAAGAGAACCCTTCACCAAAATCAGTAGCTTCCTAAGATAAAAAATTCTTTTCTTATGCCTAAAATCTTTGGAGAAATGTTTAACATAAACATATGATGAAATTTCATAAACCTCTTTTATTATAAAGATCACACTAAATAAATTAGCGATCCCTTTTTCTAAAAGTACTGAACTTTGTTATGAACATACTAAAAGGCTCTGACATTAATTTAAAATAATGTCTTCGGTGAGTTTCAATATGTAGCAATCTGGAATGATTACTTTATGAAGGCTTCTGAGTATATTTAAAATATAAAATCAGCTTAGAAATACAAGTTGAACCTCCCAAATCTGGGACTCTCTGGTCCAGCAACATCCATGGTCTGGCAGGGCAGGGCCACAGATGTTGCTGGACCAAAGAGCCACCAAAGCAGGAGCAGCACAGGGGCTGGGAAGACCTGGCTGGGCCAGGCAGCATCTGGGGAGTTCCTGCCCTGGCCAGGGAACTCTCAGTGCCAGTGGGGTCAAGTAGCAGCCAGGGAGCTCCTGCCCCAGCCAGGGAACCTCTAGCATTAGTGATTCCAGGTGATCAGGGAATCCAGCCCCAGCAAGAGAACCCCCAGTTGTAATGGAGCTGTCAGCAGCTGGGCAGCCCCAACCAAGAATCCCGGCAAACGCCTGCTGGTAGCAGGGCCAGGATGACCGAGCAGCCTCTGCTGGGGAGCCCTGCGGCTGAAACAGGCCTGGCAGAGGCGGGCGGCTGGAATAAGGATGCTAAGGACTATGCTTGTTGGATAGCTGAGTCAACTAGTCAATTCCCCCCCTCCCCCGCTTGCTGCCTCTATCCGATGGACGCAGCAAAGTGGATGGGGGGAAGAGGAGGTACTTCAAAGCAGCAGCATTGCACAGAGCCCATACCCGCGCTCACTGCTGCTTTGAAATGCCATGGTGGCATTTCAAAGGGGAAGCACTGCACAGCTGATCCCAGGCTCAGCTGTGCGGCGCTGCCCCTTTGAAACGCTGCATCGGCATTTAAAGCAGCACCGCATGGAGCTGACCCCGGGCTCCATGCAGGGTTGTCCCTTTGAAACGCTGCCACAGCATTTGCGTGGAGCCTGGGGTCAGCTGGGGACTACCCAACTGATCCCAGGTTCCAGTGCAGTGTGGGAGTCCCCAGCTGACCCAAACTCCACCTAGCATTTCAAAGCAGCAGCGCAGCATGGAGCCTGGGGTTAGCGGGGGACTCTGAGTGTCCTGCAGACCCCAGGCTCTATGTGGGCACTTCCGCTTTGAAATGCACAAGAGCTCCTTCTGGGGATTCTTGTACAATTCAAAGCTGGCACCTGTGTGCAGCCCTGAGTCAGCGGGACTTCCCACTGGCCCCAGGCTGCATACAGAGTTCCACATTCCTCCTTTCAAATGTACAAGAGCCCCCGGTGGGATGGGAATTCTAGTCGATGGAAATTCCATGACTGCTCGACTAGTAAATTACTCGACATTTAAGATCCTTAGGCTGGAGTCCCCAGTGGCAGTGGGGTCGTCTCTGGCAGCAGGATGGGGTGGCTGGGCACACCAGCTGGGGAAACCCCAGCAGCAGCAGGGCTAGTGGTGGCCCCAGCCAGGAACTGACTGCTGAAACACCTTGTAACAAGGTCAGTGCCAGTCTTCTTGCAGCCCTCCCTGGGCTCAGCCCTTCATCAGTCCCAGCAACCAGCCAGGAACTCCTTTTTTAGGTCCTCTGGTCTGCACCTGCACTGAGCTGTTTGCGGTCCTGCTGCTCTTTCAGTCAGACAGGAATGCAATCCTCTCCCTGCCAGCTCCAGGCAGCAACTAAGACTATGTCTAGACTGCACTCTAAAATCAAAAAAAGATTTTTCGATTTAATTTCGAAAGAGGCTACACAGCACCAAATTTCAAAATAAAGTGCTCTTTTGAGCCATCACTTATTCCTCATAGAATGAGGTTTACAGGGATGGTGAAAGAGCGTGTCCGTTATTTCGAAAAATTTTCCGAAATAGCGGACATGTTCCTTGGACACGGCATTGCTATTTCAGGATACTTCCGGTATCCCAAAATAGGAATGCAGTCTACATGTATCCTGACTGACCAATTATCTCTGCTGATCCTTTTGATATAGCCCTCCTGACTGGCCACTCCTACAGCCCCTTTGATTGGCTGTTGGCTGCTTCCCCTGATGTAAACTCTACACTGCTTGGAGGACTGCTCTTCTGCTCCACTCTGGGAGGGGATGTGGCAGGACCCTGAGGCCTCCAAAAGAGGCCCTCTGAGCCTACTCCATGCTGTCATGCATCTCAACAAAACAAAACCATAAAATGACTTCACTGGAATCTGTTGCAGGGGTTTGCTGGTGCCTTAAGTTAACACGCTGGGATGCTCACCCTTCTTATGTGACTACTATTAGCAGTTCTGACTTCAAGGGAAAGCTGGTGTAGCTTTGAGATACAGTTAGCAGGCAGCAGGGATTTTTGCTCTGCTGCTGCCACTTCAACAGCACCAGTGTTACTGAGGGGAAAGGAAGGGTGCAAGGCCAGATGCCAGTAGAGTGCATGGGTGCACCAGTGGTTTCCAAGCTTTGATCCAGGGAAGGCAGCTGGAAGTGGTCTGTAACACAGTGCCCACGGGCGCCATGGCGTCCACCGGGGCATTTTCATGTGCCCACCAAGTGCTCGGAGCCAGCCCCACCCTGGGCGCGCGGCGCATGCGCGGTACTGGTCCCGGGCATGTCGCGCATGCACGGCGCTAGCCCCAACTGCATGGGCGGCCCCGCCCCGGGGCATGTGGCGAATGGGCGGCTCTGCGCCCGGGCGCACAGTGCATGGGTAGTGCCGGCCCCGGGCACACAGCTATGGGGGGCACCGGCCCCGGGTGCACGGCGCATTGGCAGCCCCGCCCCCGGGCGCCCAGCAGCTCCAAAAGGTTGGGGACCACTGAGGGAAGTGGTTCTGTTACACAAATGGCTGATCCGGTGAGGAGGGGGACTAGAAGACAGTGAAGAGATGAGACCCCTATATGATTATATTGCATATGGACCCAGAGAATTGCAAGGGTAATTTTTTTAAAGAATCCAGTCAAATGAAACAACATTCTGTATGTGTTGGTAGCAAACCCAACTCATCTGATGAAGTGGGTTTTACCCATGAAAGCTCATGACCTAATAAATGTGTTAGTCTCCACGATGCCACAGGACTGCTTGTTGTTTTATGGTTAAGGCTGTTATTGGAAACATTTTATTTCATAGTTGCATACAACTCCATGCCCCAAAATCTCTCTTTTTTGGCAGACTCTTCCATTACTCCCTGCCCCAGGCGGAATTCTTGTTAGGCACAATAAACAAACAAACAAATACATACATAAAATAAAGCTCATCACACTTGTTTTGACTAAAAACACCTCAAAAACTGGCAGAAGAACAACTTTTTGCTGCCCTGTAAGTGGCACCTTCCTGCCTTTCCCCAGTCCTCCTGAGAGAGATAAGCCGCCTGATCCAAAACTCAAATTCAAGCAGCCTCAATCTTTGAGGGGTTAAAATTCACTCATGAGATTTGCAAATATGGATAATGAGCTGAATCAAAGCCTGGGCCCAACATTCCTGGGCCTTAAAATCCAGATCTTGAATTTTTCAAATTAACGTGGAGGAGGGAGAGTATAAGGAACGGGAAAGCAATAATGCCTCCTCCAACTGGGTATGTGTGTGTTCTAAGGTGAATGAATGGCATAAATAACACATGAGCTGCATCTGCCCCCCAGGATGGCGATGCTGGCACTCTAAATTCCTGCTTCTTGGAGGAGAGGGAAGCCTGAGGCAATGTTCTTGATCTGCGTAGGATGGCTATGTGTGGGCTTGTTGAGGAAGGGGAAGCAATTTGTCACATGCAGTCAGGAAGGCATGGCAGCCCCTGTAGCAAATACACTCACCGGCTGGGGGAGGGACTGCGGAGGTAGCGAGCCTGCACTGTCTTCACATCTGGTCTGTCCTCTTCGTCTGGTACCACTTGCTCGCTGTCTGAGTCCTTGCTGCTTGCCATGGCCTGCTCTAAGGAGATATCTGCCTGAGGTGGGGAGGTCACCGGGACAGGGAATTAAAAAGGAAGCATAAGCAGGAAAACCCGTCAGGTGAGGTGTTGGTTGCTTGCCACCTGTCCAAATTTTCCCAGGATCATCCTGTCCCAGGAAATCTGGAAGGATGTTCAGCACGCACTGCCAGTGGTCCATTTTATGGGCTCAGGATCGTCCCGGATGTCCTGTTTTCTTTGTACCTCAAAAGTGGCATCCCAGGCGGGGCAGGGCTCCCCTACACTCTGTGGTGGTAACTTTGCATTGCAGAGCGCTGTTACACTAATGGCATCAACACCTTCTTGGCTGGCTAGGGGTTGGAACTGTGCAGAGAAGGAGGAAGCCGGGATGGAGGTCAGGAAGGAGGAAAAGCCTAAGATGGCTTGTGCAAAACCTCCTTCTCCTTCGACACAGCTCAGCTCTGTTAGTAGAAAATAGAACAGAGGTCCCCAAACTGGGTGTGTGAACCTTTGGGGGGGAGAGCAGCTGGTATTGGGGCCAGCCCCCACAGAGGGAGAGCGAGGAGGGCCATCCAGCTCTGCTGCTGGCTCTGGCTGCCAACCCCAGCCATGGGAAAATGCATCCTGTGCCCCAGCTGTGGCCTGGGCAGCTGAGGCTCTGCTCCCACCTCCGATAGTGGGCCTAGCCTCAGCACTCTTACCCCTAGCTGTATCCCCTGACTGGAGGGGAGACAGAGACAGGAGTAAGGGGGGGCATGAGGTAAAAGTTGGGGACTACTCCTCTAGAAGGAACCTCATTCAGCGAAGGATGGGGGGGCTGGACATAGAGACTTGAAAGAATATGAGGGTGGGGAATATGGGTATGTCTACACTGCCACCCTAGTTCGAACTAGGGTGGTTAATGTAGGAAACCGAAGTTGCAAATGAAGCCCGGGATTTGAATTTCCCGAGCTTCATTTGCATCTTGCTGGGCGCCGCCATTTTTTAATCCCCGCTAGTTCAAACTCTGTGCCCGCGGCTACACGCGGCACAGAGTAGGTAGTTCGGATTAGGCTTCCTATTCCGAACTACCGGTACACCTCGTTCCACAAGGAGTAACGGTAGTTCAGATTAGAGAGCCTAATCCGAACTACCTACTCCGTGCCGCGTGTAGCCGTAGGCACGGAGTCCGAACTAGCGGGGATTTAAAAATGGCGGCACCCGGCAAGAAGCAAATGAAGCTCGGGAAATTCAAATCCCGGGCTTCATTTGCAACTTCAGTTTCCTACATTAACCACCCTAGTTTAAACTAGGGTGGCAGTGTAGACATACCCTGTGATGCCTATCCTTCTCATAACCAGACACTGCAAAGCAGGGGTGCTGGACCAGTCTGTATAGTGATGGTGCTGAGAGCCATTGAGCCCATCGATAAACTTTGTATATAGTGGACACCGCTTCAAGCCAGGGGATGCGGTAGCACCCCTAATTCCTACACCTGTGCTGCAAAGGATCAAGGCCAAACCCTAATTCCAACCAACTTTAAACTCAGGACACACCTCAGGGAGCCATTGTGGTGAGCCCATGATACCAACCTCTGCCAGGGTGCAGGGTGGCTGATATTATTTGGAGAAGCAGCAGCCAGTTCCTCAGGCCTGACAGAGTGACTTGGCTTTCACTCAGGGAGTGGCTGTCCCATTCCAGCCCTGAGGGCTCAGATATCCCTTGGCAGCTGGTTTCAGATATCAGGAATGTAGTCCTGTCCCATAAACAAGGGCTGACGAGCTGCTGCCGCTCATGGCGTCCGTGAGAGGGGAAGAAAAGATGTGAGGAAATGGCACTTACCATCTGTGTCTTGAGCTCTCCTGACAGCAGAATGGTCACTCGTTATCTGAGGCACAGCGACTGAGTCCAGTGGATGGGGCAGAAAACCTGACAGGGGACACAGCTAGTGCGAGAGATCAGCCACCCTTCCTCTCTCACCGCGGCTTCTTCTCTAAGGGGCAGGACAACTGTCAGCAGCAAACCTTTAGCAGTTTTCTAAATATAGGGTCTGCCCCATACTGGCTGCTGAGTCACATAGGAAAGGAATTCAGTGTCTCATAGATAGCACTTGGTCACACTTTTAACTCTTCCCATGCTGGGGGCTGGATCTCCTGATATTTTCTTGCTTGGATTTTCCTCACAGCAGAGGCCTAAAGAATAGCCGTGCTACCAGACTCCCACCTGACGGGAGCCCTCAAATAACTGGGACAGTCTGAAAAGCTGGTGTACTCCCTAGTGCCTTGTCACAGTGCAGTGTATGATCAGCTGCTTCACACTGACTGGGAACACCGGGGTATCAAACAGCTCCCTCGCCATCAGGGCTCAGGTGGGGGTAAATGGGAACATTTCCTCTTCTCTTGCTTAAAAAGAAAACCTTCATATCCAGTCCCTTTACTCAGAACCATCCTCTCCATAGATGGTGAGTTTGGGCTGGCCGCCCTGCCCAGAACCTTTTCTTTTGGGGGGGGGCACATGTCA